TGAGCCAGTCGCCGGCCCGGTGGACAGCTCGAGGGGTAGTGCGGTGACGGACTCGACCATCACGCCCATGTTCGAGGGCTCGTCCACGGCGTCGGCCACAGGCGTGCCGATCGAGGCAGGCGAGCCCATGTAGACCGGGATGAGGCACGCGAGCAGGACGAGTAGGATGGAAGCGCCGATGTACGGGCGAGGCAGCGCGGTGACGAACGAGGTGAACTTGACCCACAGCCCGCCGCGCGCCCGTGCCTCCGCCGCATTGCGCGCCGCCGTCTTGGCCTTGAGGATGGCGGGCGTGTCGGTGGGGTTGGAGTCGGGGAAGGTGTCCTCGACCTGGTCGGTGCCGACGCCAGCGACAAAGCCGCCGACGATGCCGTCCGGGTCGAACGTGCGGGTGACAGAGTCGGCCAGCGCCGCCCGCACCTCCTCGTGGTCGGTCGCGGTGGAGTCCGACTTCTTGAAGGGGTCGTGCGGGAGGGTGCGGCCGGGGGACTTGGCGCACACCTTCTTGTACGAGGACTGGGCCATGCGCACCTTCGTCTCGTGGTCGATGCGGTCGGGGAGTTCCTCGAGCACCTTGGCGACAGGGACCCCCTTGCAGATGAGGTCGCCGATGCACTTGCCACCGTGCAACCCATTGCAGTGGGGGCACGGCTTGCGCCCAGCGGCTGCGCGGCCGCCGCGGTCCCCGCCGCCCTTGTCGGACTTGATCTGCGCCTGGAGAGCGGCGACCTGGGACTCGGCGGCCGCGAGCTTCTCCTTGAGCACGCCTTGCGAGGCAATCTCCGCCTCGAACGCCGCCTGCGCAGCCGCCTTGGCCTCGTTGGCGCGGTCCGCGTTGTCTTGGTCGAGGATGCCCTGCATCGCGAGCGTGGACGCCTTGAGGCCGTACGTCTTGCCCGATTGCGCGGCGAGTTGGCGCTGTATGCCGATCTGCACGCGCATGTTTGCGCCGAGCGTGGCCCCCTTGGCGGCGATCGCGTCGAGGATGTATTCCTCGATCACCTCGTCGGGGAGGTGCCACTGGGAGTCCTTGAGCAACTTGTTCGCCTGCTCGATGCCCGTCTTGAACTTGGCGAGGCTCGCGGACGTGAGGTCCTTGAGAGCGTCGGGGGAGTACGCCTTCTCGAGATCCGCGCGCAGCGCCTTCGTGCGCACGTTCTTGGAGTTCGTGTCCTCCGACTCGATGAGCGACTTGATCGCCGCGATGCCCTTCTTGATGTCGTCGTAGTGGTCGGCGTCCTCGTCCGCCAACATCTCGGCGAGCGTGTCGTCGTCCTTGACGGCGTTCTGCAGCGCACCGTAGAGTTGGCGCGACAGAGTCACCGACAGGTCCTTGAAGAACTTGTCGATCATGGCCGGGATGAGGCCGTCCGCAGTGCCGATGTTCTTGTAGCGCACGTGCAGCGCGACCGCCTCGGCCTCGCGCTCCGCGCCCGGCCGGATGGTGCCCACCTCGATGATGTCGAGGAGGTACTTGTGTTGCTTCGCCGCGGTCCGCAGGTTGCGGAACCACTCGTTGAACTCCCGCTCGGAGCTCTGTTTGTAGGCCGGAATCACCAGCTTGTCCGTCGACGACATGTTGTCGTAATGTCCCGGGGATCGTTGCCCCGCCGCCACCAACTGTGAAGGTCTTCAGTGACCACTCACAAGCTGTTCCAAGGCCCGACAGAAATGTACTGTCAAAACTTTGTTCAAACAAAAGTCCTGGCCCGCGGCCCCCACACCCACAATGACTATCAATCCAGGCTGCGGGTGAAGGGCAAAACCGCGCCGCTGCAGAACGGTTTTTGCAAAACCGCGCCGCAGCGGTACGAAACTGCGCAGATGCAGTCCAGGGGTGGTAAGGACACTATGTGTGTGTGTGTGGCCGTAGACTAGACGGCTGCGCGGGCGTCCGTCTTCAACACCCCTGTCTAAAGAAAGGAGAGAAAACAGAATTCAACCGACGGCTCTTTTCTCCCGCTCGTGCGTCTCTGCGCGGGACGCGGGTGTCATGCCTCATTAGCTGACGGTCGGCGCGGCTCGACGAGGGGTCGGCCTGGGCGCGGTGTGGCCGGCGTCCGGCCCCTCCTGGTGTGGGGTCGGGAGAACGGGTCCGGGAAGCAATCACGGCCCGTGCCGGGCAATCT